GCATGATAAGTTTATTAGCTGAAGATAGAAAAAAAAAGATGATCATCAAAAGAAACTGGTTAGGGCCAACCAAAGCATTTGTGTCCAGGGTATGTAACTTGATCTGGGCACAATTCTGCTGGGTGATCTGGGTTCCTCCAGCAGTCCAAAGATATGTTACACACCTTCATTTAAGTGTTGATTTGTAGTTGGTTGCGGATTCAGATGAGAGGATTGATAAAGCTTTGTGAGTAAGACTACCAAATGTCTGGCCCATCATATTAACCTACAACACTGTCAGCAGAGCACAGAACTGTCTAGGCTGCAGCTATTGTTTATTTTAGTAATCGAGTAACCTAGCAATTATTCCATCGATTAATCGGATAGGAAGTACTTTTCTCTTATTAAAAAGCAATAATAAAGATTCAAAAGAGAAAAAATATTCTTTCTGAATGAACTGCTCATTGGTTTTTGGTTTATCTGTCAAAAAAGCAACAAACTTTGTATTTCCCTGCCCAATTAAAATGTTATGTTTTTAAAGAAAACATTTTAACACCACTGAGCAACCACGGTTACATTTTTGGAGAACTGTGCACAAGTTTGTTTTCATAGCCACTGCATTGGTTCCCATAACCAGTCGCAAGAGCCGTTCAAATGGAAACAACCATGGGACTGTAAATCTGGCTCGATGTAGCCGGATGGAAAAATTTTAATGCATCACCCAACCTTAAAATGTCAGCAACCAAGTCAAGATCATGACTCCATCATTTCTCCAGGCTCAAAGCACTTCTTGACCACTCAAGTGGTTAAACTGCATATTCATCCAACTGACCTAAAACTGCAGTAAACAGAAAGGAGGAAACAATTTCTAATCATTAATGACGTCTTCAGAGATTTGAGTAAGAATGATGTATAAATTGAATTTTTGATTTTTTTTATTCAATGCCAGAACAGACATAATGTAATATAACTGCCAACTTCAAGATGAGCGTTTTAAAATGACTAATTCCATTACCTTTCTGTATTTGTATGTGAACAGACAATAACATTCATTCAGAGCTTGTCTGCAGTGTTTTAAAGGCATCTTAGTGGGATGTTTTCCCCCCAATGGCCTTGCACATAACTGCTTCTTGCCGGTGAAATCATCCCGTCAAATCTTTTTTTCACGACATCACAGGCGTCCAATCTGCACACTATCATCCGTACAATCTCTCTGTCCCACTGAGACCAAGAACATAACAGCGAGAAAACGTCTGACAAACTGTCCAACTGTCGGGAGCTTCTCAGAGCACACCGAGCGTTTGGTTTACATAGTGCACAGTGCTCTAAATGTTCTGGACAGATTTTTTTTGACAACACTGATCACAACAAAGAAGGGAAATACCTCCAACAGGCACAAACATTTGACCACACAGCATGCAATTAATTTGCAGAATGCATCGTCCTTGATATGCTGCTTAAAAGCGAATGAAAGCTCATTGAGAATCGATGAAACAAGAGATACTGATAATAGAATCAGAATCTGTAAATTGTGTAAAATAATGCTGATTTTAATACTATAAGTCTATCTGTGCTAATAAAACCATATAATAGTAGTATTGCATGGTGACACTCACACTCATGTAGTGGTTATCTACCTCTACACTTTGCTTTTTCACAGCTAAAGATGACTCTCAGAAGCATCACATGGATACCTTTGGTGTACTTTTTGACTAATGTACCACAGTTTCAGTAGACTGTTATGCTAATAACAAAGTCAAACTACAACAAAAAAGTATTTCCTCTGAATTTAGGAATAACTTGTCATTGTTTCTTCTGTAATCAAACGAACAAAGTATTGTGCCTTTCTACATGAGTTTCTTTCTTCGTGTCGTGCTAGTTTTCTTCAGCTAAACTCCAAAAGAACCCAAAGATTTTTGATGTCATAAGAAGAAAATACACAACCAATGGTGAATGTACTGCAGGTGTCAAATAATATGAGAATGTATGGACACTGACTGATGAAAAATTTAATTAAACACAAGTGTCATTTACAAGAAAAGATTAAAACGATTATTCTTCATGCAGCTAATAAGAATGAACTATAGATTTATGTCCAATAAAACTGCAGGTGGGCAACAACACAATATGATGTGAGCCCTGTGAGTTGTGAATGGTGGGGGAAGGAGAGGCAATCCTCAGTGATCTATCACAACCTCTTTATGATGATAATGTGTTATCAGCATTCACTTCTCGTGAGCAGAAATCTTTTATCCTTCGTAGTAAACACATCCAAACAATATGAGGAGTGTGTTACTTGTGCTTGAACTCGTTGTGTTTTGATTGCTGATAATGATGTTGCAATGGAGGATTTTGTAGTTAAATGTAAATCATGATTATAACCAAAATGCCTTTTCCTTTGTGGTTGTATTTATCTGACAGTTCACACTGATGCAAAGAGAACATCTGAAAGCATAACAAACAAAACTAAGTGACTATTTTAGTATCTAGTGTGAAAGCGGTTTTTTTTCTTCTTCTCCTTTCTTTCATTCAAAACATTCATTTCTAGCCAGTGTAGAAGTAGAGACAGGCTGTGAAATGTCAAGAACATTAAAGAGATCTAACGACCTTGAGATTTCCTACATCTATTCTCTCGTCAATGCTAAAGAGGCTTTAAAAACGGTGTCTTTGTAAAACTATTTCTTTGTGTTAGTGGGAAAGTACCACTGGCTACAAGCCAAAGACTTCATCTTGGTTCTGGCTGGAAAATTTACCCACAGTGACTCAAGTAGCTTCTCAGTAAAAATGGTGAAAGCAGCCACATCATTCTGGAAATGGACCTTATGTCCATGGTCTTTGATCACTAACAAAAACAGTTTGTTTCCTGCACTGAGAACGGTGTAAAGATGCAGTTTCCACATGCCCCCTGAAAGGCTCCTGGCACAGAAGAATAGGTGACTTGTGTAGCTGTCGGCTGTGGTAATCATGTGATATCTCTGTCGTTTGGCTAATCTCTTTACAGCCTCCTTTCTTTTTCTCTGGGATGAAGCCAGATATGGCAGCTCAGCCAGCTTTAGCCACACGCTAATTAATCTGCGCCACCAAAGCCTCTTAATGACACCCAAACACCACAAATGATCACTGTACTCATGCCAAGCCAAGGAAGTTTGATCCAAACTTTTGGTGTGGAATCAGAGAAGTACAGTAGGGAATTTGCAACACATTGAACCTGTGCAAAAAACATTAGGAGCTGAGGGTTCAGCTCTCTGTGTAGCTCTGTAACTGAGCCAGTCTAAGGAGCTTTAGGGATGTTGACCATTAAGGCCGGTTAGCTTGATTGGTGGAGGGTTGGGGGAGAAAAATAATGCACAGTCCAGTGTCACTGGCAGCCTTGCAGCTGGTGGCTCAGCTCATGCTTTTCTTTTGGTTATTTCAGTGGGAGTGGGTATAATCCACTCTGTCACACTGTCCTGCTTTGTCGGAGATAATATGAGGCCTCCATTCGTCTTTCTGCATCCCCCCCACCCTCCATTGTCTTTGCTTCAAGTTGAACTCACAATGAAGGGCGTCTCACTCTAGATTTACTTCTATTAACTCTTTAACTCTGTCTCTTATCATTTCTCACTCTCTTCGTCAGTGTCCATTCCTTCCCCTTTACCGTAATCTCTCTCTCTTGGATGGGGCTCATCTGTGACAGAGCAAATAGGCTCACTGTATCTGTGAGAGTTGTGAGGGTGGAAGAGAGGAGGCTTATTTCATTGAAACCTCCATAGAATATCCATCCACAGGGGAGATAGGGCCTGCAGGGACTCTTTATGCCAGCAGAAAACATGGGTGAAGTGGCAGCAAGGGAGCAAGACAAAAAACAAACAAATGCCAGCAGAGAGACACAGAACAGGTGGCAGACTTTTCTAAATTTAAAGAAAGGGCAATGGCCAAAAAGACAGACGACCCAGAGAAAGTCTGAGTTAAACATATTAGTAAACTGCAGAAGTAGAGATGCTGAGCTGTTTAGAAGCTGTTCAGCATCAACCCGGTTGATAACTGAAGAGCTGCGAGAGAGAAACTCAAACTGTGGAAAAGATTAGCAGCTTGCTAACAGCACATACACACAATAGCAACAGAAAAGCTTACAGAAGCCTTTCGCACAACCCAGAGGTCACCAGTTCAGCCAAGCAGCACGTGTAGATTCTTCTCCTCCCCTGCAGCTCAACCTTGTTTTGAGTGTCTTCTTAAAAAAAACCCAAAAAAAAAACCCCTTAAAGTAGTATGTGGACAAACAGTGATGACCCAAATACTGAACTGCAGAGAGAGAGAGAGGAATAATAACTCCTGCCCCAGCAGACAACGAGCAACCTCCAGCATGAGGGTGACACAGGTTCATCATTTAGTAACCACAGATCAATATGTTGTCCCATTAACACTCATCCCAACCTTCATCGGCTTGCCATTATACATAAACATATAGGCACAAATACAATCACCAGTGAACGCATTAGAGCATAACTGAAAACCTCACAGTTTGATGGCAATTTGAACAGAGTTGTGGCTCAGGAGGTAGAGTTGGACGTCTACCAGTCACCAGGTTGGGGGATCGATTTCCCAGTGCTCCTGATGCATCCATCAGGAGTGTGTGAATGTTAGAAACTGCTTACGTATAAAAAAATAGCACCTAAATGAATGTGAGTGGGTAAATAATTGTTTTTTATCTACAAGCCTTAAGTAGAAAAGCAGTGCACTTGGTGTAATAGCAAACAGTCCACAAAGACAAACCTTGAAGATGAAGTGCCACAAACAGGAGCATTACTCATCCGGTTAGCATTGCTAGCCTAGCTGGTTCCCAGGTGCAGACAAAGAATGTGATAACCCCGAAGGGTCATGATCATTCGTAATAACTGATACTAATGCAGTTCTGGATCACAATTACAGCTAATAATGTCACTTTGAAGCCTCTAACAAAGGCAATCTGCTGCAGTAACTTCAATTTAACCGAACAGTCGCATAGACAGTAAGAGTGTTATGTATGTGTTGTTTGGACTCACTCTCAAGGCCTCTATGACCAGGTCTCGGGCTTCCAGCTCTCCCTCCATGATACTCAGCAGGGTGAGCAGCTCCGGTTTGCTCAGGTTATCCATGTTGAACTCACATTTCTGCAAAAAACACCATAGATAACACATGACAGTCAGAGACAATAGGATCAATTAAGGCTGCTTAATTGGTGCAAAGATCTGACTTATTTTGGTCAGTACTGAGATCATGATTACTAATCATTTTCAGATTTAAATAGGTTGAAAGTTTCATTTTCAAACCCTTCCCTTCATTGTAGGGTCTTTTCCTAACAATATGAAGCACCTTCAGGTAACTGTTGTGCTGTGATGCCACTATATAAATGAAATTTAATTCTAGCTTTTCTTTTCCTAACAATCACCCTTTACACTAGAGCTTTCTTTCCTTTTACCGTGGCCTTTCTGAATAGGGCTCTGTGATATGATCAAATATATTGGATGACAATATGGGGCGACCGTGGCTCAGGGGGTTGGGAAGCGCATCTGTAACCGGAAGGTCACCGGCAAGACACTTTACCCTAATGCCTACTGGTGTTGGCCAGAGGGGCCGATGGCGCGATATGGCAGGCTTGCTTCTGTCAGTCTGCCCCAGGGCAGCTGTGGCTACAACTGTAGCTGCCTCCACCAGTGTGTGAATGAATAGTGGAATTGTAAAGCACTTTGGGTGCCTTGAAAAGCGCTATATAAATGCAATCCATTATTATAATATCTTGACACACTGTTCACTGCAATATTTTTTCATTGCTTTAGATGACAGTTTGCAATAGTCACCACGGCACCACAGAAGGTCCAGCCAAAACTAAAGGGGGAGCTCATTCCTAAATGAGAGGCTACTTCTGAGCAAAGGTCATGGTTCGGTTATGAAAAGTCTGATAGGCAGCAAAAAACAGAACTGTGCAAATTATCCAGCAAACAGGTCCCATAGACACTGACACAACAAACATCTTCTACCAACTCATGAAAGAGTATGGACAGAGTTTAAGAAGGAGAACCAAAAAAAAAGAGAAAAAAAGTCAGGTGCTCAAAATAAACCTCCGACTCAAACGTTAGAACAGGTTTTTTTCCCTGCAGCATGCCATATAATAAAGACTCACGAAGACAACAGCAGCAACTACATCTTATATCTCTAAATATTTGATTCTGTGCATTGGTCAAAACACTTGACTCAAGGTACACAACGCCAAGCTGAAAACACTTCACACAAGCCGAGTTGTCTTGTTTATAGTATGAGTGTTGTTTTTTTCTCTACTGAGAAATCCACACGCAGCCTTGTGCTAACCGTTTGTTACCAGGACCCAAGTGGACTCTAGCGCAGTTGCGAAAGCGGAAAGTATAATCCCCACGTAATGGTGACCTTCGTTTGCTCCATCTCCAATGGCAAACGCATAGACCCAAATATTTTTTCGCCATAGCATTTTCTACATGTTTGTCCTCCAACTGTGCAATTGAGTTCTTTGCAGACAGATATGTTAATATCTGTAACACACTTTATTGGATTTCTCCTTTTCGTCCCCACTAGGTGCAGGTTTCTTACTACTGCATCTTTGTTTTGGTTATTAACATTAATACCACATTCACTGTCTCTGGTAGTGTGACATAATCTCATTACAAATTGTTGCACTGTTTCCTTTGGTTCCTTCAAAGTCTGTAGAAAACTTGGTGTACAATGGCAATTTTAGTTTGTGGCACAAAGTAAACATTCAATGTAGTAACAGGCTCATCATAAAGTGCAGATGCTCCAGTGTTGGACAAGGTTGAGAATAGATCCTGCTCATCTCTATCAGCGTAATGAAGGGGTGGATCTTTGCGCCTCTATTTACAGTGGCTTGCAAAAGTATTCGGCCCCCTTGAACTTTTCCACATTTTGTCACATTACAGCCACAAACATGAATCAATTTTATTGGAATTCCACGTGAAAGACCAACACAAAGTGGTGCACACGTGAGAAGTGGAACGAAAATCATACATGATTCCAAACATTTTTTACAAATAAATAGCTGAAAAGTGGGGTGTGCGTAATTATTCAGCCCCCTGAGTCAATACTTTGTAGAACCACCTTTTGCTGCAATTACGGCTGCCAGTCTCTTAGGGTATGTCACTACCAGCTTTGCACATCTAGCGACTGAAATTCTTGCCCCTTCTTTGGAAAACAGCTCAAGCTCAGTCAGATTAGATGGACAGCGTTTGTGAACAGCAGTTTTCAGATCTTGCCACAGATTCTGTCAAAATCTTTCTGCACGCCACTTTGGATGCCACCGTATGCGATTCCAGCTATAAAATTAACGTGTTTACAATCTGGGACAAGAAAAGTTTAGACCTTGATGGATATTTTACCTTTAGCAGCCAATGGCAGCGCCTTCTTTAGCCTATGTAACTAATGTTCTACTTGCTCCCAGTCTCCAACTGGTCTCATTAACCCTCTCGAGGCAGGTGTTGCCAATTTGCAACAGTTAAAAACTAACAACCTGATTACCCCACATACATATTTTATGAGGTTTTTTTACTCAGACGTGCCACTGCAGGACTTGGTTGTGCATTAGCAACAAAAAGTTAATTTGAGCCTGAGAGGGTTAAGTGCAGTTCTAAAGTCAGGCTAGCCATCCTATCTCCAAGCCATTAAGGTCTGATTACATTTGGGTAGGTCATTAAGCACCTATTTGGTCAGTAGTAACTGCAGGGCCAATGGGTGGAGATGGATGTAATTGTGAGCAAGCAGAGCACTTCATGCTTCCCTCAAGCCTTTTCCGGTCAACTTCTAAAATTGCTATGTACTGCCTCTGCCCTCTTTTTGAATTAGTCCCCTTGTTCTCTGATCTTCTTGCTTTGCCTGATGTTGAATCATGTTATTTATGCTACAAAGATAAAAGAAATATTTAAGAAAATTAGAACTTTATTTTTGGAGTTTACAAAATACAGTTATGTTCCAGCCTTTTATTTAGAGATTGATAATGCTGCTGAAGAGATCATTGTGCCAACAAAGTCCTTTTTAATCCTGATACATTTTGCTAATAGTAATTTCTTCCTCTGGGATTAACAAAGTACACTGATTGTGATTTTACTTGTGCTTCATCATGTGTGATGAACATCTGAAGTGAACTCCACAGAATATTGGGAGAATTAAGTCAGCACAGTGACCAAGATTGCCCTTCGTCACATGTAGCGCACAGCAGGAAATACTGATTAAGATGTGTTCTCAGTACAGTAAAAGAAAAACATTTGCTTGCACATGACTATAATCAGACTTCATATTAGGGAGCAACTGTGAGCTCTCACATGCAGCTCTGTTGACAGCAATGTTTGAGGCTTCAGTGCACAGGAAAACATTTTTAACATTGCATTGTTGCTTTTACTTTTACTTTACTCTCTGCTCACGTCCCCGAATAACCCAACAGATCTGACAGCATTTCAAAGCAAAGTGTCAAAATGTCTTGTTAGGAAACCTTTAAAGTCACTGTCTTCTTTTAAAGTCAAACCAATGTGAGAAAAATGAGCGGCATTTTTAGCCGGACAGCTAAATAAATACAATGATGTAACTTCCCAGGAAGAGGACAGACAGAAGAAATTCTAATTACCTTGTTGGCCTCTTTTAACCAACTGCTAAAAAGCACCACAACCAGTTGCAAAATATAGAAGCTTTTCACTAGACTATTTGTTCAGTGCAACTAACGAATGAGAATAGCAAGAGTGTTTCAGCTACATCAGACTGATTGCTGCCTGCTCTTTCTTGAGGTGTCAGTTGTCAGACAGCCATTTAAACCTGATTTAGTATCCTCCTTCAAAACCTCCGCCAACATTTCTTCATTTCATCAAAGTCTTGCACATGTCTACAGAGCACTCTAACAAGGAATAAGACTGAACATCAGAATCAGAGATTTCTGTAACATACTACCTCTGTGTGTCTTCTAATGACATTGTTATTAATAGAGAAAGTTCAAGCTCAAACAACTAACAAATGAGCTAATGTTGCCTTATAAAGGAACACTCTTGTCCTTGAAAGCTTTTAGATAGGCCCGTATTGGTGAGAAGAGGCTTTCTCTTCTCAGAACAAGAAGCTGAAAAGTAGTGTGTCAATCACATCACAGTTTAGTCAAAGCATGTTTTTATTCTGAAGACTGGAAATAAAAGCAGAAGAGATTCTGTGGGATTGATTCATTCGCATCCAGGCTTCCAATCGATCCTCAAGTTCCCCTTTCCCAGCAGTGTTTTCACCGCTCAAACAAATTGGATGAGTCAGGGGGCCTTGATGGATGTCCACCCTTAGCTGGTGTCCTCCTGTCACAAGACCTTGGGTTGTGGGTGGTGTGAGGTGAAAGCAGTAGAGTTAATGGGGGGGTTAGTCTGGCATCTGTGCACAGTGATCAGGTGAGGGAAGAAGCAAACTCTAATTTGTTCCATGAGCCGTGAGCCATGCACCAAGGGCATGAGCAGCCTTGCCAGCATTCATAGGCTTGTTCACTGTTAGCCCCAGTCCACTTAATAAGGCCTGTGTCATTTCACTTGGAGCCACAAGGGAAGGGAACTGCTCGTTCTGAACGCTCCTCAACTGTGCTCTGCTGGCAAAATCCTGCTTAGTCCTGCAAGTTTCTCACATACTCATGTCCTGCAAGCACAAAACTATATGACGTGACATGCAACATGGAAATGCCGCCAAACTGGGAGAATCACAATTACTAGTACACTTATTTACCTCTGGAGCATAACGAGACTTTTCTTATTATTTTTGACTGTGTAAGGCTCCAACCTGTGTAAGTCTACTTGACTGAAGTTTTTTTATGACCAAAGGAAAACATGAGAAGAGGTATTTTTGTACTGTAATTTGAGTGAAATGCCCCGCTTAATAGGTTGTACAAATATAACGTTTAATCTTTTCTGATGACTTCTCCAACTTGTTTACATGGTCATTTGAACTCCCCCATATCAGAGCACAGCAAATTTGTTGTCAGGAAGAAGCTTCAGCAGCGACATTACAGCCACTCATGTTAATGGCACTCGTCCAACATGGCAGCATATCCCCCATAAACACCCCTGGCCACTCTTAGGCTGCTGTTACGCAACAATTCTGCCAGACAACAATGGTAAGATTTAAAGATGAGGGACAATCTTGTCACAGTTAAAGGAATATTTTGCATATTTCTTTAATTAACAGCATTATCAGATTGTAACAAAACAAGTAATCAGACACTGATGCTGAAACCATACACTGTATGCAAAAGATGGTTATAACCATTGTGACATCACCTACTGGTTTCAGACTCCACATTTTGAAGCCTCAGCTTTGGCAACATGTTAGTTCTTTGGTACCGGAAGTTACCATATCATTAGCTAATGCTAGAAGGTGGCTTAGCAAGTTGTATCTATAAACTGCACCACAGCAAGGCACTGACAAACACATCTTAAATGGTCAGTGACACACAGCAAGCCATATTGCTTTTCAGATAATTCCATTAAAATGTTTCAAAAGGCATAAATATAGTGAAGAGGTCCAGTTTAGTGACTCCAATTAGTAGTGGTGATTCTAAACACGCACCAACTGGCTATACCTGTGCTATAAACACGTTTTTACTTTTGTAAATTTGGACCTTTTCATATGCAAGTCTATGGGGATTGATTCGCTTTTGGAGTCAACCTCAAGTGACCTTTTGAGGAACTGAACATTCACGCTAGCTTCATTTTTCTGAAAGGATAACACATTATAAACTATCAGAATCTACAGTATTCTGAACATGGCAGCTGCAAAGATCTCCAATTAACAACCACACCTGCAGTACAGCATCTCCTCAACAGTGTTTGCTGATTACGAGGTGAAAGATACAGTTCCAAAACAGCAGTTAGCATTAAAGTCAACAAAAGCTGTCAGTCAGAAGGAAGCTAACAGGATTGGTGTTTGTTATTTGGTTAAGGAAATGCTACCAACATCAAGTCATTACATCATTTAAAGAAAGGTCTAAGTTAGAGCATCTGGACAACATCCACAAGGAATTGCAAAGGTGTATATCTGGTAACACAAAACTATTCTACAATGACACTTGACCGTCCTCTGTAGGCAATGTCGTGCTTTTCAGTGACAATCCTGTAGAGTTACAAGTTTCTTTTAAAAGCAAAATTTCCTAGCACTGCCCAATTAAGTAGTTCACTCTGGGTTAATCCTGTTTGTTTATGTGCTCATGTTTTTTTATGAAACATTTAAAGAATTCAGTTTCTAGACATACTGTCTGATTCACTAACATCTATTAAATGGGTGGGAGGTGACAGGCAGAGTGCCTTTCACTGACCTCTAAAGCCTCTCTGAACCACCCTCACTTCAGAATCCTCACAAACGAGAAACTTCCCCCCGCTCAGGCCAACAACAGAGTCTTACAGGGGTAAGCAAAGAGCAAAGTGCTTTATTTAACCACTGCAGGCATGGTGTTGGTGTTGGTGGTGAGAAGGGGGGAGTGGGAGGCCATCAAGGCGGAAGCCCCCTGGAACCTGGAAAAGGGAGAGTGCACTGGTACTGAAGAGGTGAGGTGGCTGCCTGACTCCCATGTCTCCGCCGCACCTGTTCGCCTCAACGCTAAATGTAAAGCAGCTTCCAGGCAGTACTGAGCACGCTCAAGAGGGGGTGGGGGCTGGCTGACACAGTACTCCCAGCTATGCCAGCTGAGTCACTGAAATTAAGACCAATTTAGAAAGGTGTATGGTGAACGGGGCCAGCACCCCCTCCTCTTCCTTTTCACTGGCTCTGCCCTCCACTCACCCCCACAGCTCTTCTCCCACCATCTCCTCAACACCCACACTACCACCCACCCACCTCAGGGACTGTGGCTGCTGTTCTATTATTGCAACACCACACATTTCCACTAGCCTACCTCTTCAAACTCTCATCCAAAGAGGTATTTTTTTCCTTCTTCTAAACTTGCTGTATGTGTAACAAAGTTGAAACAAGGACAAACTAAAAAGAGTGTCACTGCTCATCCTGCCTCAGGGTTCCAGTCAATAACAGCAGTCAGACAGGTTATATCATGGAACAAGCAAAAGGACGGGAAGGTTTCATGGCCTACTGCCGGATGGGGCAACAGACCGATCCATTTGCACATAGGGGGTGCTGAGCTGCTGTGACCTGAGAAAGGGCACAGAGAAATCACAACTAGGTGCTTGTACACATGTGAAACCCAAAACCAGCTGGTGATAACAAAGGACTGCTTGAAGAAAAAAAAGAAAAAGAAAAAAAGCTTAAGCCTTGAGTCCTCAGGTCTGACAGTCTGAATCTATGGAAGCCTGTGAGGTCTCTAAGGACTGCCAATTTAAATAAACCACTTTCACACCACACTTAGCTCCACATGCCAAGTGTTCATCGTTTGCGGAAAAATTTAGACAAAATCAAGATGGAATGAAAAAGATTTCACCTCTAGCGGCGGAGCTTTGGGGGAGCAAACGACAGCTTTAATAAATCTATACTCAGTTTTAAGTCTCCTGCAGCCAGGCGAACAGCTCGCTCCAAGTCTCTACGCATTAACTCATTTACTGCAATGTAATACTGTATATCAACCTGTACAGCCACCGACGCTTTCTCTTCCATCAAGCACACGATTACATTACAACTGAGGGATGCCTGCCTTTAAAGCAGCCGCTAGAGGAGAACAAAAGAATTCACTGCTGGGGGAAAACCAACACTGTTCTGGCTTTTACGGAGGCTACTGAGAGTAATTATGGGTTATTCATCAGCCCAAGCAGAGACGAAGCCCTTGTTTTTCCCCAGACATTGTCGCGAGGCTCGCGCTGGCCACCGCTGTTGCTTCACGAGCCCGTGCGAAAATAGATGCGCGCGACATTTCGCCCTCTTTCCTGGGTGACTGATAAAGGAACACGCCGATAAAAACACACGTGTGGCTTTCGCTTTTTCCCACAGCTTCCTACCGTGTCAACGCTGCCCAGCACGGTGGTTGCCAGTGTTTGTACCGGGGGAGGCTGCTCTCCGCTGGCTCCCTCCGACGCCATCTTCGTACTGTAGCGGTCTGCTGGAGTGAGGGCGCATCCGGCACTCATTAACTATTGCACTGCTGAACGCAAATCTCAGCACGCGCGGCCATGGAAGAGGAAAGACAAACGAGATTTGACAATCTGAAGTGAGGGGAAAAGATGACAAGTGTCCGTCGTTAAAAGCCTACAACTGAATGCGTGCGGGGTGCTGCAGCTGGGAGGGGGTGGGCAATGTGGGCGTGGACCGAGCTACGCGTAAAATCCAGATGAGAAGACCCGGTGCGCTCCCAACTGGAAAGGAGGTGCTTTCTGACAGGCTGATTGACAACAGCATTTGTTGACCACTGTAGCTATAAAATCAACAAATGAGTGCTTTTCAAACTTTGATCAGAAGCCTTTTGTAACTATAATAAACATTAAGATGTTAAAAATGTCTTTATTTAAAATTTGCCTTATTTCCAAGACATGCATTACAATGATATCACCTGACAGTCATAAAGAGCTGGGTGTTCATGTAACACCACAAACTAATGCAGTGAGTCAACAATCATTAAAGTACAGTAGTTTTTTTTATTAGATTCTTTAATACAAAAATAGAATGTTGTATTAATAAATATAGTTTCATTAGTATGTAAATACATCTTTCATCAGCTAATGCATTCTCATTAACTTATAATTAATCCATTAAAAATACATAGAAGCGGTGCTAGTTTGTGGAAGCCCCCATGTTACCCTACGATCTTGAATATAGCGCTTGAGATGGACACTGGCTAAATACTGGCCAGATACGAGGCACATAGAGGCCACCATAGATGGAATTATGTCCTTGAATTGGGAGGGGTAAGAAAACAAATTCCAGCTGACTGAAAAATGTAATCTACTGAATCTATCTAGCAGTAAGGTTTTACACTATGTACATTTAACTTAGAGTGCAAGTCCAAGTTAAAGGTTTTTCCATATTTTTGCAAATAAATAAAGTTTGACTGAAATATATCAAACATTTAAAGGTTTAAAGTCAAGGTCACTGAAATCACAAAACGTACATTAAAAATTCTTATAGTTAGTCTACTTATGGTGTGCAGTCTTTATAAATAATCAACTTCACTTTGACATCATAATTTTCACTTAATGAAAAGCCTTCTCAATCTCATAACGTCCAAACAGAATTTCAGGTTATTATATGCTGAAAGGCAACTGCTTAAGAGATTCACAGATCAGTGAAAGTCTCATTCTAATTTGTAATAACTCTACAGTGTTACACTATAGAAAAGCTTCATAAAGAAAAAACATGAATAAAACCTAAATAGCTTTCAGTGAAATTATCATTATTAACAATTTGTATATGTATTTCAATAATGTAATTCATTCATTTCTTTACTTAAACCTAGCAGTGATGTTGCCTTGATGCTTGCTCAATCATCCAGGTAAGGAAATCCCCAAAAAGTTGATTCTCTTCATCTGGTTGTAGCGTAACAGCAGTTTGAAACACAAAAATACAAATGTGGAAGCAGAGCAACTGAGGATCAAAGGTTTATCCTTTCTCAGCAATGTAAAGCCCCTATCATCCAACATCAGCATGGAGGAGAGGAAGACTCTCACATCACTTTGTAATGACAATAACATTAACATTAATGTCCTTCTGGCAGACAAGGGTGGGTGCACAGTTTAGCAAAACCAGAAAGACTATCATGAGAAAAATATTTCACTGCTCAGTGACAAAAATACTTATAAACCCCTGAAATGAGACCCATGTCCATCAGTTATTGGGACATTTAAAAGCTGATGTGTACCGTAAACCAGCGCATACAACTCAGTATCTAAGGTTTGACTCATCATCTACTAGAGCACAAACTGGATGTCATCAGGACACTACAACACAGAGCGAACACCATCCCCACAGACTGAGCGGCCAAGAAGGCAGAAGAACGCCATATCAAGAAGGCCCTGAGTAAATCTGGTCATTCCAGGTGGACATTTGTCAAAGCTGGGAAGACACCTAAAGAAAGCTCCAGGCGATCATAGAGAGAAGAAGGACAACTGCTGCCTAAGTGAAAACCCTCAGCGATCAATTATGTGTCAGGAGTATCGGAACAGTTAGGACACATTTTTCCTAAACACTGAGTCTCTGTGGCTTTGAAACCCCAAAACCCACTCTGCCAAAAAATTGGTCCTCCCCAAGGATCAGGTCCCCTGACACAAAACAAAGTAATATAGTGTACGCTGTTAAGTGCCAGGAGGATTCCCTTGATTTATACATCGGGGAAACCAAACAACCTCTGTGACGTGGATGGCACAACACAGAGGAGTTAACCCTCTGTGTTGGCCAGTGGACACTCTTTCAATGATGAGGATGTACACATCCTGGACAGGGAGGAACGCTGGTTTGAGCGCGGAGTCAAGGAGGCCATTTATGTGAAAAAGGAAAGACCATCTCTGAATCAAGGAGGGGGCCTAAGGCCACAATGCTGTTATTGCAGCTATTCCCCAACTCTCTGTGAATGGTACTCATGGCAGTGACCATAGATTAATGGTTTTTGATCAGTGGTTGTTGATCAGTGGTCATGGCAATTTGCATATTAATGATCAAGAAACTGACCTCACAGTCCATTGTTCATCAGTGGTGCTAGTTTCAGTCAATGTGCAAAGGTACTGTTTATAAGAGTGGGGAAACCTACAGTCAGCTGAGACTGAAGAAGTCACTTGGATGAGTGACGAAACATTTGTCCTGCTAAAAACGCTACGTTATACCAGTTGACAACTTTTACTGTCAGTGTAAATGGAGAACTAATGGAAAGAACTCTAGTACAACTACTTAAAAATTGTACTTTAGCACAGTGCACTCCTTCATTAAATTAGTACAGTGACTCTTCATCCGTCCTCTTCTGCCCTTTACAAACCATCAAAACCTCACATGCTCATTCGTTCCTGCGAATACTTGCATGACAAGTGGTTTGCAGCACTGAACAAGCTTTTAGTTGTTTTTTCTTAAGTAAACTGCACTTTTAATGACTTCTTGCTCAAGACTTAAAAAGCACCCATATTTAGCACACTACACACAAATAAGTGCCAATGTACATTTGACAAATGTTTCAATAGCTGAATGTAGCTGCAAACTGGAGCAAAAAAAAACCTACAAAAATGAGCCTTAAACAGACTATCAGGCTTGTATTCAATAGCCATGAGAATACACACCAACAACAGCCACAAAGCAAAGGATTTCAAATTATAAGCCCCACTGTTAATCTTACACAAGTTGATGCTCGGAGTTCAAATCTCTCAGTTCTGATTCTGTTTATCCCAGAAAAACAGAGGATAGAGGATGGGGCTCTCCCAGCTCCCAGATGTGGCGTTTAGGATTAACTGATGCTGATCCAGCCTGGACTTCTGGAATGATGTTATTAAATCTCCATTTAGGTCACATGTTGCATGATTGACGTTTGCTGGTTTCATTGAGGGCTTGACTGTGTGTTGATTAATGAGGTATATTTTGGTTTCACCAGAAGTGTGATAATGTGCTTAATTTGCAAGTAGTTTTAAGGAAAATCTGGGAATTGTTAAATGTTGAAAAATAATTCAATTCAGTTGCAAAACTATGGAAAGAGAGCCAAATTTCAATAACTACAGATGATTAAATAAAGCAGTGACATATAAACACACAGAGTGGAAGGAGATGAGAGAAGAAGAAATACTTACATCGAACCCTGTGGTAAGCTGTGACTAACTTTTGTGTGTGAAGGAGACTCCCCATTTACACAATGGATGGGATCATTTCTATCAGATAGATATGATTCAAACAACTGCAGTGCAGTTTCTTTATTACCAATGTTTTTTTCTAATCTCTGCCGCAAAATATTGTGGTGAGTGACATTGAGTGCTGCACATAACATGTCGGTCTAGCAGGATCTGTCCACTGTAGGGGACATAAGATCATTTGGAACTTTTACTGGTGCTGTTTCTGGGCTGTTGCACTCTAAACCGTTTCCTCTATTCCTTCGCAAAGGAATAGAGGAAACAATAAAGGAATTAAAGAAACAATAAAGCAATTCAAGAATTCCTGAAATAAAATCAAAGTTAAGAATTGTTTATAAGACAAATCGATCAATTATTGACTTTTTTTAAGTAGTGATTTGATTACTGCTACCTTAAAAGTCTTTGTGTAGGCTGTTAATAAACATAGATTCCTGATATTTAAAGTCGAAGCATAAAACTTCTTTAAGCAATCTTTTAGAAATGGGAGAAATGTCAACAGTTCACCTCAGAACTTTAAAAATCAGATTCATTCAACTATGATTTAATTTTTTTTCTTTGATCTGACACGCCTACAATTTACACCACACGTTTCCCACTTTTCTGTTATCCTCAGGGAAATTTACACATAAAATTCTCCCTTTCCTGCTGAGATTTTTTTCCTCTTTTTCTTACTCTATCTTGATATGTCAAATGCCAAACTCGTGTTTCACTCTGATGTAGAGCAGCACACATGGAGCTCTCATGACTACTCTGGAGATGTTATTGAAAGTTCATTGTGACCATTTAAAGAAATGGTTACATTTAAACCATGGTTCCATGTGCTGTTGATTCAAAGTATGCTCTTCTCCATACCTTGGATTTAATATGTGGTTATTTGAGTTACTGATGCTTTCCCATCAACTCAAAGCAGTCTGACAATTCTCCTTAGGCTATGATCACTGGCATTAGATATCAGGGGAGAATGGCTGAGTCCCAGTGAGTGTAGACAACTGACATAACTTGAAAAACATTAAAGGAACATTAAAGGATGTTGCAACATATCTGTTACTTTGTGGACTCCGGATTGTGAAGCCTTGATTTTAGATTTATGGCTGGTGCCATGTTGGCTTTTTTGGAGCCAGAAGCAAGTGCATTTGGAAATGTGTAGGGTCCAATTTGCTAATCATATAAAAGAGAAGAGAAACAAAACCTAGTTGACCAGTGTATTATACTGACAAATCCAATGTATAACTACTTTTTTGGTCATTTTTAACATCGAGCAACAGTACCTTAATGTGAAGTACTGCATGTTATCTGTTAAGTTAGATGTTAATAAAATAAAGATAATACATTTAACATTTAGTAACATTTAATATTTCTGGCACTGACTATCTAAGCCAGCAAAATTTAAATGTCTGGTTTACTAGTTGCCAGCATAACAGTCTATAGATCCATTTTGAACACCGATTTCCATGATAGCATTATGGTTGCATTAATGTAGTGTAAGCTCAGAGCCAAAAGATCATGGGCATCCAGTACTGATTT